CAAATTATTATAAATAAGGAGACAATGTCAACGCGCTCACGTTCATAGGCAGACTTTCATCCTACCAAAGATAAAGAGAAAAATGTCATTATCTTCTGTTCAAAGTTATTTTGTCAACTGATAATAATATAATATTATGATTATTGTTACACAAATAAGTAATAACTACACATATCGGTGACCTATTCTGTACAACACATTAAATAAGCAGCTAAGGATTAATCATAATATTATGTTTTAGCTGGGAACATAATAGCGAAGTACCTTCATATTTTATTCCTCAATATACAATAATATATAGGTATATACTATACAGTACATTTTATTTTTTTGGGGGTGTACAAGTCCCCTAAGCATGTCCCTTGCGTTTGCATACATTTTATTTTTAATGTAAATAAAGGTTGTTTTTCTACATCAGCGTTTAATTATTTCTGACCGATACAATCGGGCAACCCCCAGGTTGAGAAACGCTAATCTAGGGAATTTCATAGGCTTTTTATCATATTTTAATTTTAAAGCGAGTTATGAGTATTTTAAAATTGTAAATTGTTTGTACATCTTAAAATGCTCATAACTCGCTTTAAAATTAAAATAACATAGCAAAACGCCTATGAGATGACCTAGATCAGCGGTTCTCAATATTTTTATAGTCACGTACCACCTACACAATTTGAAAATGTTTACATTCGTGTCTCGAATGCTGAAAAATCATTCTTAGATACTTACGAAATAAATAAATCCAACTTTCTCACAAATGCATTAACTTTATCACTAGCATATAACATGTTTGTGTTTGATCCTTTCAGACTTAAATTTAAAATATTTAAACTGTCAAATATGTCAGCCATGTAAGCTAGTCTTGACAGCCATTCTGCATCATAAAACAATTTGGACTTGTCTTCATCAATATAATCAAAATAAAACAGACAAAAATAATGATAATACACACTTTATTTTACAGATAAGTAGCTTCGTTTTAGGTAATTTTACGAGCTTTATTTTGTTTTAAAAAAAAATTTCCCTCCGATGAACCGTTTTCGAGATATAAACGAAAAACCCAAAATGCATATCTTTACTCCTCCTCCGGCTCACCTCCTAGGTGTCAGTACTTTTGGTATGTTAACACCCTAAGCCCCCTGAACAAGTTTCCGAAGGAACCACAAAGTTACCTGCTCACTCACTCTACCCCTCCTTTTGGGTCATTCGTTGACTGGAATAAAGGTAAAGACGCATTGTTGTGAAATAGGAATACGCTTTATCAGGCTTATCCAATAAAGTTTATCGATTTGTATTATATTAAAGAGAATATCGTTATCTTAATTGCTACGATTACAAACGACCTCCACACCATCAAATAAACATTAAATAAACCAAATAATATTTAATGTTAATAATGATTTATTCTAATTTTTTTTATAAAGGTAGATGAAACATATAATAATTAATAATAGACCTATAAATAAGCACATAATATTCATTTTTTAAATCCCCTAATTTGTTACCTATTGAAGTGGATCAAGGTGAAATAAGAAACACAAACTGTATAGTGCCTAATACTTATAATAGCATTTATTATAAATTCATACTAGCGCCAATCCTGTGTTAGGTTAGATAAACAAAAAAAATAGTTATAATACAAAATACAGTTTTCTCATTTTTTGGATGCTCAGTTCATCGATAATCTCATCTGGCATTATTATTGTACTGACCGGTGACATGCCAATAAAGCCAACACATTAAGGAATAAGAGCCCGTACTACAATAGGTTAAACCGCAGAGTTCGGCCTTTAAAATCAGTGGGTTAAGCGTAACCGAGATTTAAACTATGATGGTAAAACGGTGACGCGTCATTTGATCCGGTAAATAATATCCGGCGACAAAAGATCCGCGACATTTGGTCCGGTGAAAAAATATCCAGTACCAAAAATATCCGGGGCAAAAATATCCGATAATTTATTTTTTATTTTTTAAATAATTTAATTAGTTAATACATTTAATAAATAATATTATAATCGAACGTTTTTTAAAAACATGTTTATATTTAAGTAAAAGCTTAGTAAAAATAAAAAATAAGTAGAAATATCTCTATAAGTCTTTAAACTATAAAATTAAAAATTAAAATTATGAGCGATGCCTTTTAAATAATTTAGCAAATTGGTATAATCATAATTTTGTACAACATTTTTTAAACGTTTGTCAAGGTCCTTATATATTTACGTTTTTTGGTTGGATTAATCTCACCTAAATTAATTTTCTCGATTTTTGCCACTTGCAGCCCTTGTTCTTTCTTAAAGAAGTTGATAAATTTCCATATCGTGGTATGGTGTGATCCCAAACTTGTATTAAAAGCATGATGCCAACCCTCAACAGCGTTAGTATAGTCCGAGGGAAATCCATAACTACATCATTGTAACAGTTCCACATTTCTTATTTCTAAGGGGAACATTGGATGTTTTCTCCTTCTACGAACTGTACACCCAATCCATGTTTCTTCGAAATAATCTATTATTGGTTGAAGAACTTTTTCATTAGCAACAAAATATTGGGAATTCAAAAGTTCTTCAAAAGCATTTGCTACATCTTAAACCGGAATAAAAGCCAAAGCACACAAGTGTTTTATTTGGAGCGCAAATAAAGAATCTTCTCCATATTTTTTTTATAGACCATTAGTCTGTATTTTACGCCAAACACATTGTCCAAAATGGAAAAAACATCCTTTTATTACTGCATTAGGTTAGTTTTTACTAAACTTTTACTTAAATATAAACATGTTTTTAAAAAACGTTCGATTATAATATTAAATTCATTTGTGTTACTATTAAAAATAAAATTATTATTTATTAAATGTATTAACTAATTAAATAATTAAAAAAATAAAAAATAAATTATCGGATATTTTTGCCATGGATATTTTTGGTACAGGATATTTTTTCACCGGACCAAATGTCGCGGATCTTTTGTCGCCGGATTTTATTTACCCGATCAAATGACGTGGAACCTGGTAAAACGGGCCCTAGTCGGTTAGGTAAGGTTAGCCCTAATCGGTTCTAATAAACAAAGTATATAATAATTACTACTTAATTTATAATTATTATTCAATATTAGATAGGTAAATTGATAAAATATTTACTTCTGTCATACTATTTACATAAGGTAAGACTTCTTACCTAATAAAAACTTGAAAAACTTCGTTCAGGTGTAGCAGTTGATACAGGGAAAGTACAAAATATTTTCAAGAGTTCATGAATATTTGGATAAACTCTTTATAACAAATATCTAAAGCATTATATGTAAACCAGAGGTGAATAAAAATGTTTCAGTCAATAACTACATATCAGTCACTAAAAATAAACCCACGCCCTATGGTAAATCTACAGTTATCATGTTAATTTTGTTTTATTTACCAACTGTTTATCGCGTTTATTATAAACACTCTTGCATGAAAAATAATTCACAGAAAAGTAAAAAATACAGTACTTACACCATACTACCATATAGGGGTATGTTTTTGTTGTCTGATTTATATGCCACATATATGCCGCGAACGACTAGTGGTGTATAGTATAGGATCAGAGCTGTAAAATTACCATGGCTAGAACATTTAGAAAACAGACATTTGAGAAATACAGAAAATGAGAAAACTTTACAAAACTTTACAAAAAAAAAGGTCAAGGGGGGAACTATCCCCCCCGTAAATACGCCGCTTCTGATAGTTCCTGCAAGACGTTTTTTCCATCACAGGTCCGTTTTATTTAAATATGTAAGGCTCCTCAAAGTCTAAACTTAAAATTGTGAATATGTCGTAGTTAATAAACTATGCCGTGCCAATAGTTTTAATATTTGACCATCAACATTTTCAGAAAAATAAGCTCTACCAGAAACCATTAAAAAATATAGTTGTTACCATTTGAAAAAAGGAAGTATATTTTGCTATTGGTAAAACTCCGTGCTTTACAATATTGAAATTGTAATAAAGAAATTACCAGTTAAATATAAAGAAATACGTATTTTTTCGTTTTTTTTTTATTTCTATAATAATATCGATCCATTATCATTAAAAACATGAGTATAACAACAGATAACCATGTGTGTATTATGTATATTGTATAGATATATATTTTTTATATTAAATATATGCCCAAAACAATGAAAAGTTAACTTCATTAGGAAATCAATTATCATTACATATTTTAAATCAAACCACTAGAAGTACCTTAATTGTTGTCACCCGCAGAGTCATAACTAATCAGTCGTCAATATTATAAAGCAAGTTTAATAATGATTTCTACCACCTAACAATAGGTGTCTAATTTTTATATAACATTTTGGTGGAAACAGATGGTTATGAATTTCAGTTAAGTCACCCCTTTCTCAATTTTAATATTTAGGCACCGCTGGTTGACTGTAAAAGTTTTGATTAAATTTAATTCAAATAATATTTATTTATTTCTATTACAATTTCAATTCCAAGTGAAATTGAGCAAGAATCTTAATGGTTTAACAGCTAGAAATATAAGACATTATGCTTACATTGCTCATAGGTATCGTATGACACTGAACTCTTTTAAACACAAATAAAAAATAAAATAATGGACAGTGTGTAAAAATATACATTTACATATATTTAATTTGATAGTTTGTTTGTTTATAGAAAAAAATCACTGTTATTTTGAATAAAATATACACTGAACAATTTATAACAGTAACATATGTATGCCACTTGTGTACATAGATATAAAAATTAACATTGAAAAACCCTAATCAAATGGCAAGTATTTGATATAACACGGACGGCTTAATATTAAAAACAAAATTTAAAATAAAAAAATTCATTCATAAAACATCATCTTACTGTTATAAGTATACTATGTAATAGTTTGATTATCAATCTGTGACAAAAAATTATAAAAACAAAATCATGATTATTTAACCGCAAAATGAACAAATTTATTCAGGCTGATACGGCACATGAGATTCATCATAATATAGGTTGAACACATTTATTGAACTAGACCTGCATCCTTTGCCATCAAGTAGAAAACTGATGATTTTTCTTGCAGTAAATTAGCAGGCGAGTCGTATTCGACCATGAAACCATTATCCAAAACTATTACCCTATGGAAGAAAACACACATAAATAATTTAGCTAACAAATCCTATACAACATTGTATAGCTTACTTGTCAGAATCCATGATTGTGTTTAGACGATGAGCAATTGTCAATACTGTGCAGTCTTTGAATTCTGATCGTATGGTTGTTTGTATTAAATCATCTGTTTCCAAATCGATTGCCGCTGTTGCTTCATCCAACACTAATAATTTTGTCTTTCTTAACAATGCTCTAGCCAAACACACCAATTGCCTTTGGCCCACACTGAAATACAAAAATTAATGTTAAAATAGGTCACCTATTGTAAATACTTAATATTGACAATAGCACCAATCAACTGATAAAAAGTGTAACGAAAGTTTAATTAAATTCTAAGAATATTCTCAAGGTGTTTAGTATTCCCAAAGACAAATTAGATAGGTATCAAAGTTTTTTTTATACAAATCCTCCTCCTTCCCTTTACTTTGCCTATACCGTAGTTCTTTACTTCTTATTGGCTGTCAATCATATACATACATAATATATAAGAAAATAGAAAAAAATTAACTAATCAGAAATGGCGAACTATAACATGGCTGGAGGTGAAGAAGATAAGCATACTAAAAAAAAACTATTACAACTGTGGTAATCACTATCTATTTTATTTATCTATTTATTTATGAACGGGCTTGGAATCCAATAGTGCAATACAAGTAATAGTAATAAATAAATTTGAATAATAGAACATAATTATTAAAGTAAGCAAACATAATGGATCAAAATAAACGAATGGAAATTATAAAAAATAAAGTAAAAAATAGTAATAAACAGATTCCAGTACTATTATTAGTAAAAACATTTTAAGAGAAGCTTAGGTGTTCATTACCAATGCGCATAATACGGTGAGCGGGATTATTTCTACCACAGTTAGTGTTGTGGAATGGAACAACAAAGGAAGAATTAGACCTAGTTGAGTGAGAAGGAACTTTAAAATGTATTACAGAAAGAAGAGAGGGAGCCAGGCAGTATACAGTGGATTTGAGTGTCCACCCCCCCCCCATTTTTGTTCGTGTACGCGCCTGGAAGGAGCATCCACAAGTCTAGCAATTAGTTTAGGCAAAAACACCAAATTAGCTTCAACTCTTCTATCTGTTAGAAACAATAGTTCAAATTTATTCATCACTGGCCTATAACCATGCAACGGATGTGGCGTACACATTATTTTGTCATGGTATTTCCGTAGTTCGTACAGAAATGTAAGCCACGCAATTAAATTTATGTGTTGAACAACAATTTAATAACATAGTATATTTTATATTATTTTAGTTTACTTATACTTCACAGTATAAATAGTTTAGATAAGTAAATACGTACCCCTACTGGTCTAATTACACTTGTATGTGTCTATAATAGTATATTTTTTTTTTTTTTGTAATTTTGTTTTCAACAACATACAATATTTTTTAATACGGGCTTAGGGTGTGGGGCTATGGCCCCTAGGGCCCTCCTGGAACCCCAGTCTATCTAAAATTTGAAAACTTTAGTTACACTTCCCTATCAGTTAGTATGGTAAAATAATTCATTAGTATGATGTATGTTAGAATATAACGCACATAGTATTATTTTTTGAATTTTCAAAATACATTTTCATGATACCATGTTTTTCCACCTTGGGATAGGTTTATAAATTGTATTATATTTTGTTAATAGAACAGCTTTATTACCCAGTATGTGTTAATAATAAATAAAATGACCGAACTTTTATAGCAAAATATAGAAGAGTACTTTTGTGGTAATGCAATATTTTTTTTCCTTGATATGGTTTTTAATTAATAAAAATAAATTTAAGATATTTTTATTTTTAACCATGTTTCTTTTGTTCAAGCATAAATTGTTATTTCATTTTTAAGTTATTAGATAAATTAGTACATACAATTGATATATTATGCACTTATTGTTTTGTTGGATTGCAGCCTGTGCAGTTATAATAAATATTAAATAAACATACATAAGACTATACAGTTTTAATTATCTTATATTTACTAAAAATAGTTGGCCATATTATGAATTAAGCAAATTAGATTAAGCAAAACTATTATTATTTATACTTTTGAAGTTATGCCACAAAATAACAGTTCTCGCAGTGGTACTTGCAGTGGCATCTTATAAATTGCATTATAATTAAAACTATATTTAAATACATTTAAAACTTCAGCAACTAAAAGTAAGTGGATGACTTTCTTTAAGCCCTATCATATTAATAAATACCTGAGATTGTCTCCTCCTTCAGACACTTCATAATCCAGTCCACCTATTAGCCCTTTAACATGTGCTTTTAAATGGGCTAGTTTCAAGGCGTTCCAAAGCTGCTCATCTGTATTACTATTAGTTGGATCTAAATTCATTCTTAATGTACCAGAAAATAATACTGGATCCTATCAATAATAAATACACAGCTTAGTTTTTTTTATTTCAATCAATAGATCAAATGTATATGGTTACCTGTGGAATAATTGTGAGACGGCTACGTAACGTATGCAAACCAATATTAGATATGTCAACACCATCAACAAGAATTGATCCTTCCGCAGCTTCAACAATACGGAACAAACTAAGAGTCAAAGAAGATTTTCCAGCACCGGTACGTCCAACAATACCTACCTAGATTTTTTTTCAAGTAGTAACAAAATTTAATTGGTACCTACATGTTTTATATTTAGATAAATACCTTTTGGCCCCCTTCTACTAAAATATCTAGGCCTTTCAATGCCAAGTCTAAGCCTTCACGATAACGAACTTTAAGATTTTTAAATTGAACTTCTCCACTTGTTGGCCAATCTTTGGCTGGCAAATTTGATGGTACATCCCATGGTGCTTCCTAAAAAGTAAAAATAATTATTTGTATATGATCAAATAAATAAATTATATTTATTATATTACTTGAGGTGTTTCTCCATATTCTTTAATACGTTCAACGGCTACAATATTAGTTTCAACTTCAGAAGTCATTCTAACCAACCAATTTAGCGTTTGTGTGATCTTAATAAGACAAAATTATATTTGAGAAAACTTATTCTCTATTTTAAATAAAATGTATTGCATACCTGTAGAGCATAACTGACGGACAAACCAACAATACCTGGACTTAATGTATCTCTTCCCAATACTGAGAAAACCGACGAAAAGAAAATAATAAAATTACCAATTGTTTCTAACCTTACAGCTAGCCATCTAAGATAAAATAAAAATCAATTAATATACTAATATATATATTATCACATATCAATCAAAATTAGTTGTACCTATTAGCCACTGTACTTGGATAGTAACAAGTTTGATTAAAATCTACTTTTTGTTCGGATTGAGTTATAAATTTGGATTCTGCACCATAAGCACGGATTGATGATGCCCCTGTAACTGTTTCACTAAAATGTGAATAAATTGGTGAACGAGATACAGATTCAAGTCTTTTGAGCTGACGTGATGTTGCAACATAAAATCTCTGTAATAAAAATGAAATTTAAATAAAAATTATATTCATGGATTAAAAGTATAATTACCTGTATGAAGTAATAAATAATACCAATAGGAATTATCACAGCTGTGAACACGGGAGTACTGTAACTGATTACAACCAAAGTACCAACAACCTATTAAGTGGAAAATATAATTAATATAGTTTTTTTAGTTTTAAAATTGTATAAGCTATTTTTTTTTTTTTTTGGTGAGTTAGCAATACAAAGTCCATACACAAGCATTTTAGATTTTAGTATGATGTGAAAAAACAAAGCAAGGAAAGAATGAAGACATTATATGTTTAAAAACAAATTTTCTGATATTTTTTAAAAATTTTATAAGATCTTACACCACCACTTAGTTTTTAATATTATAATTTCATGTTTGATAGGTTTGCTTTACATAAATTTAATTTATTTAAAGTCATATAAATTTTTTTTTTTTAATTAGAGTATTACAATTAAAACTATTGGAATACTAAGGAATTTAGAGTTTATTATTTACAGCAAACCCATAAACCATAAGATAGTAAACAAATAAAGTACTATTAACATTCATAGTTAACAACGAAATGCATTATCCATGAGCAATGCATATATCAAGGTATATTAGTATTAAATTATCAATGCTATAAGCCTATAACAGATACAATTTTTTTACAAAGCAATTAATAAATCAATATTCTAGTCGCAAAAATTATACAATAAAAAAAATGACACGTACATCCATGAAACAATAAACTGTATCAGATAGCTGTTGAGAAAGTGTATCAACAACTTCAACGTCTGCAGAGAAACGGGACAAAATTCGACCAGTTGGAGTAGCATCAAAAAATTTCATTGGATTTCGAAAAATATTTGCTGCCATGTAATTATGCAAAAAGACAGACGCCATCCATGCGCCCAAACACAAACATAGGTCAGCCAAAAATTCAAATAATCCTGTAAATATCGAGAAAAATCTATCATTTCTATTGGGACGCGGTAATACCCTTGAAACAATAGGATATAATATTTCGATAATACAAAATTTCTAGAGCTAAAAACTATCCAAGGTCCTGCACCTCATAAATATTTAATAAATACCAATACACAAACGATTTACTTATTTGTATCTTGTTGCAATGTTGTTCAAATACATGCAGTGTGAATTGAGCAGGGTATGTGATGAGATTAAGATAAATAGTAACAGGCAGACTAAGCTCGAACCTAATTTAAACATCATAATATAACATATACCATTATATGTTTCATTTTGTAGATATACATATAGTAATTATATTTAAAAATATATATCTATAAAATGTTCATCCTCTAAAAAGAAAATGGAGGCTTCAGACCATTTTTCTTGTTCACCAGTGCAATATCTGAATACAATGAGTTCTTGCAATTTCATAGGTAGCTATGATTTAGTAACTTCTCAATCATTTAAAACAATTCTGAACCAAGGCATTACCATAAAAAATCTGATTTTCATACACACTAATACAATTTATTTTAGTATATCTTGAGAAAAACACTTTAGATTGTGTGTTTGAAAATAAATAATATATCTATTTCATTTTTAAGTTATTTTGAATAATTTACACAAAAATTACACAGTAAGTATGTAATAACACAGTATATTCTATAACTCTGCTAATAAGTAATAACTGATAATTATCATAATATGAAAATTGATTAAAATAATTTATTTAGTTTCAATAAATAAAAAATTATACATAACACTATTTTAGAGATTTTTTTACCAAATAAACATCAAAAAAATATCAAAATAAACCAAAAATATCATTTTCTAATCGGTTGGGTATTATTTAACTTATTATACTATAGTTATTCTATACATACTTGGGTATTATTGAACATTATACAGTCAAGTCACAATAACTCGAATCTCAAGAAGAATAAATATAAATTTAACTTACGTATTTTTCAAATAGTATACCTCAAACACAAATACTTGGTAATATTTGGATAGTATTTATTGTTTAACATAATATATTTTAAGGCATTTCAAAGTAGTTATTATTATGCTGTAAGGTAAGGTCGGTAAGGATCAAATGTATTGAACACCACACATTTTTGGATACATGAATCATGTATATGGCTTGGTATGGAGTGGGTGTTTGCATTCAGTCACAAAATATGTTCTGTGTTCGCACCGGCCGGTGTCATAGTTCCCTGATGGGTGACCACCCAGGTTTTTAGTGACAAACCCTTGGCTACACATACGCGTGTCCAAACTAACCGCACCCTCAGTCCCTTCCCCAACACTAACAGGTGTGACCTCAGTTGTCAAAGCCTTAATGAAAAGTAAAAAAACTGATAAGCATAAATAATATAATATGAAGAATATATATTGTGTACGGTTTAGAGGTCTTGAATGTACCACTACATTTCAGTTGGACGACCATGAATTTAAATGGCATTTTATGGGATAGTTAAGGAACTACCATTTGTTTCAACCATTTTTGTTCTAAAAAATCTTATTCTTTGAAATTGTTCAACAATTTTAAACTGTATCATATACATGCAATAGTTTCAAATACCTATTTGTACAATATAATATGATAGATGCTAACTAACCTAAAAGAAATTATGATAATTTGAGATTTTAATTTTATCATTGAGTATCATATTTAGATGTTGTGAGGTATTTAACTTCAAAGTTTCCAAAGAGTAGATTTTTAATTTTTGGCATATAAATACCATAATGAGCGAAGTGCAACAATGTAGTTAGGATGTTAAATCCTAAATGATAAGTTGTGAATTTTTTCATTTAATTTTTTTAACTGTAAGTTAATAAGCAAGTGACTGGGGATGAGCATTTTTAAATTTTTTGAAAAATGTCAGAAAATTTTTTTTATATTTGAAATAACTGTAACTATGTCAATTTTGGTTTTAGAAAATATTTTTTCAGCATAAAATCGAATTAAAAAAATTTGTTTTATCTGAATCCAGTGTCTAAAAGTAGATTGTAATTTAAAACAAAGCAAATTGAACTGTGCGTGTGTGTGTGTCAAATGAGTTAAAATGGGAACATTTTCCAATAAATTATATTTTGATAGTTCCTAATCTATCCTAAAATACACCACTCAAATTCAAGGTTGTCTGACCAAGATATTAAGTGGTACATTCAATACCCGGATACACAAAATATAATATTATATATTACATAAATATTATAATCAAAACAAAAACTAAATTTCAAATGCAGGCATAAGTGAAATATAAGTACGCATTTTTAACAGATATCAATCCATTTTTAACAGATATCAATCTTGGATGATCAGATATTTAGAATATTTAGATATTGATATTTAGAACTACATTTCAAATCTGTTAGGAACAGAAAAATTAATATTATCCACATGTAAAGCAAATTTAAGCATTAATTTTATAGAAATAACCTTTCACTTTGAACAAAACTAGATTAGTGATACACATTTATCTTAAGAATAGAATTAAAAAAAATACATTCAAAACAATTTTAACCATGCATAAGCGATCAAAATTAAAATTGATTAGATTGTAGAAGATACATAAATTGTATACAAAATGGATATTTACAGAAAAATAAATATCTTAAACAAAACTAACATACTTAATTTAACTTTATTTTAGTCAAGAATAATGCATTTCTGTTGTACTACTGTTTATTATAACTCAAACCATGAACTAGTGGCAAATGATAGATATTATCCTAAGCACTTACCATGATAAGACATCTATTCCATGACAGCAATATTGGAGGCAATGTTATGTCAATAATGTCAACATCTTTTGCAACTCTATTTAATATTCGCCCACTGGGCGTAACATTAAAGAAGCTCATTTTGGCGTGCATTATATTCTTAAGCATGCTGTCATGCAAAACTCGAGAAGCTATTAGACAACCGACATATAATGTGGTGGTGCCAAGTACTACGGTTAAAACTGCAAAATTGTAGGTAAAATGTATTAATAAAAGCAAAAGAAAGTATAAAAATGGAAACCCAAATCAAATTTAAGTTTTAAAGCAATTCTAATAATCTTCATATCAATTACAACAACTAAATTGTTCAAGTATAAAAGCTAAAGCCAAATTGTAAGATATAAAAACTTATTAGCAATTAACAACTTTTGAGCAGTTTTATTAAGCATTTAAGCGCAATATAACCTAGAAGTAATTGTACTTAATAATATGATATGTAAAAGTAAATGTATTTAATAATGTAACTTGGTATGAACATCTCAAGTCAAAATATTCAGAATTAATAATGTCAAAAAAAGAAATAAAATCTTTTATTATAAAAAAATTTCCTCATAGTTAATTAAATATTACATGTTTATAAAAATTAATTTTATGTTTAGATGTAGTAGGGATGATGATAGTCATTACACTGGAAGTTTTTTAAATATTAGTTACGGGCAATCCTAAAATTAAATTTCAAACTTGAAAGTAGAAAAATCTAGGAACTCTGCTGAATAATTGATTTTAATAGTAACTCATTATTGATGAGGCAATGTAATGGAAGTGTTAAATTTGAACTCAATGATAAATCATTTGATCCAAAAACTTTGAGCGGAAGGGTGGTGGTAATCTCTATTTCTAAGGATATATATTATTAGTAATACTGTAGGTTGGCTAACTTTTGGTAAAAAAAAAAATTGCCAATATTTTATTATTAAAATATTATACAATATAATTATTACTTATAACTTATAAGCCAATCGCCAATGTACCATAGAATAGTGTGAAGACGTTAGTTGTATTTAAAAAGTGAAAGCTTTACAATTAATTTTAAAAATTTCATTGTGTATAGTATTGGTAAATAATAATAGATACACTATACACATAATGACAAAAAGTTTCAAGTTCCTACAAAGAATATATTTTTTAATTACAATAAAATAGCTAAAATCAATATTTTTTATTCAAATATCAAATTTGTTAAAAGTTATAAAGTTAGTAACAGCTCTGGTGTACAGTAGGAGTTTGAGAACCTAGTAATTTTTGTAATAGATGTATTAAATTTGAATTCAATGATAAATTAATACACACAAAAACAGACTGTGAGTGAAGACTTATACTTTAGCCTTTATTACTAAGCATATATGTATATTGTTATTATAGTAATTTATTTTACTATTGGTGATACAGAAGACATAATATGGTGTGGTATGGTATAGTATAAAATGAACATAATAGGCAATGGCAAAAAATAAATTAAACCAAATATTTTGAAAATGTCATTGTGTATAATAAAATAAAGTGATGTACCTAAAAGTTTGAAGTACCCATAAATAAAATATACAAAAAAAATTTTGAGAACATATTTTTTAGGTTCTTAGGTTTCAGTAATTTTCAAACCAAAATAATTTGTACATATATGATATATATAATATGATTTTGACACATTTTGTCAAAATTTGAACTTTGATTGCTTATAAAAATAATTGACCACAATATGTGTCTTAAATTACTATAAAAGCAACTAATGTGGGATCTTGTATTATATTTTCAAGCTATTTGACTGAGCTTTAGGCTTGATATTTTTAGAATTTTTATCAACAAAAAAATTTTTCAAATTCCTAAAAATAGTTTAAAATTAGACAAAATATTTTGTAAATTTCATTGATTATAGAAATTAATAATTTAAGGAACAGCGGAGTGTTTCATATTTCTACAATTAATACTCTGAATGAAATTTAAAAAACTTTAATCATCTAAACTTAAGACACTTTAAATGCTCAAAATAAATAATTGTGCATTAAGCTAACTTTCTTTTAATGATTCAAAAATATTACTTATAATATGTTGAAAATTATAACACGTATAGCAAAAACACTAATACAAATATTCTATGAAAGTGTCAGATATACCTAATGAATGAAGTACAAAAAATAAATATATTTTGTCAAGAACCTGTTGAGCTGGGGAAAAATCTTGTGCTCCAAAACAGACAAATATTTATTTTTAAACCAATACGATATTCTTTGCTCTAGTAAAAATCCAAAAATTCTAAATATTAATAAGCACGGACATTTTTTTTGCCTGACATACAAATTCCCACAATATGTTAAATATAGTAATACACAACACAGCAAATGGCAGTTATACATGTAATGAAATAATAGCTTTAATTATTAAAATCCAACAGCGTCCAAAAGGTTTTAGTGTTTAAATTTAAAAAAAAAAATGAAATAAACCAATAAACCACAAATATTTGATGATTTGACTAGTATTTTTAATTATTATACTCATACATAAGCATAATTTTAGTTTCTTGTTTAAGCAGCCGATTTTTTTTCCTCTAACCAATCAATTAAGATAAGAAAAGACTTGGAACCTAATATCTCAGCATAGAGTTGTTTATCCAAGACATTTTTGTTCATCATGACACTAGTGTTCTCATGTATACGCTTATTGGTTAATTATTATAAGACCTATGATTATAAATAACAATATGAAAATATTAAGAAGGTAATATTTTATATGTTAATAGTTTATTAGATAATAAAGATAAGGACTTACATTACAGAATAATGTTCTTTGAATATATATATATATATATAGGAAACCCAGCTCAACAATTATTTATTGATGGAAATAATTTCACATAACACATGCAAATAATATATAAAATTTAAAATGCTAAATTTAAGCTTAGGAAGCTGGTTCAACAACTAAAATGTAAAAAAAATAATTGGTAATGAAAAAGGGTGGTGGTTGCCATTTAAAAATAATAACTTTTACTGTGCATGTGCAAAACTTAATTAAATAAAAAAAAATAGTAGAAAATTTAAGAATATTATGATTAACAGATAAACAAATAAATTCCAGATAAAACTGACTAATCAACTATACACTGAGATATTGAATATTTCAACTATCAAAAACCATAGTTAAAGCATTTTATTTGCCAACATTGGTTTTAAATATTTAACTGTAACAATAATAACTAATTCGATTATTTCCAAAAATTTAACAACCAATTCAAAAAACTCAAATTATGCTTATGGTTAGGTTATAATTGATACATCTAAAAAGCAATGTCACTAAAGCAAAAATATTTATGAAAAACTACAGTTAAGCTTGAACTAAAACACTACAATGAAAAGCTTATCTAATTTAAAATATATGCTTATCAAACTACATTCACACATATACAATAATTAAAAATTAATTTTCAACCAGAACTAAGTTTTTATATTAATATAAATTATTATAATTTTAACAAACATAAAAATGTTTATTATCAACTAACATGTTTTTCATAGAGCATAAAATAATATAAAATGTATTTTACTATATTTTGTTGCATTTAAAAATGTAATTTTGGTTTTAATGCAAGCCGCTGATTAAAAAATGTATCTCTATGTAAATAGAAACACAATTTAAAATGTTTAGAAAGGAATGTTTAGCGATTTTAGGGAATTCAATGGATAAATTCTAATCTTTCTACTTTTAATTAAGTCGTATAATAAATTAGAAATAAAATCCTAGCGCTGGTTATAATAAATACGTAAAAATAATGTATCAAAATAAAATGTATATTGTGCAAGATGTAGAAAAAATATTGGACACACCAAGCTAAAGTATATACTATATACAAAAAACTTATATTTTAATTCGAATTTACCGAAAATACAGTTTGGATGGTTGATCTTAATATGAATGGCAATACATTATCAATAGTATCAATGTCCTTAGATACTCTGTTCAAGATACGACCAATAGGTGTTGTATCAAAAAGGCTCAATGGATTCTTGAAAATCCGTGCATTGATCAATTCATATAATTTTTCAGCAGCTACTACTGTGCCTAACGATAAAGCTATTGCTGCTGTCACCGTCGATACAACTACACCAAATCAAAAATATTTAAAATAAACTAAAATATAACATATTAGTTCAAAATAAAGCAACATAATTGTTTTGGGTTGATAGCTCATTTACATTACAGATTAAATAATACATAAATATACATCAATATTTAACAAATGTATGTATTTGTGTATTTATTTAAACATTAACTATTCATATTGAACAACTTGTAAAGATTTTAATAGCGAAATTGACAATTATTTAATCTTCAAACCAAACTTAACACAATAAATCAGTTCTAAATTAAAAATAAGAAAATAAACTAAAAACGGAATATATTTTCTATACAATATGAAACTGTTTACTTCACTATAAAAATCTAAGTTATTAATTTGAAAGATTGTGTATTACATATAATTACAACAAAACATTCCAGGGGTATGAATAGTATTGAACAATTCTATGAAAATATATTTTTGTATTTCCAATAATATTGTTTATTGAGCGATTTGAGAGTAAATACACCTATTATCAATATTGTAGAAGAGAAGTTAATCTATACTTGTTTAAATGTCAATTTACGATATTTTAATTATTAAACTCAAAAAGTAAATTATCTAAGTCTTTGAGCTAAATATTGGACATTGAAAATAAAATATCGAAAATCGACTCCTATACAAGCCTAGTTAGTAACTTCTTCTCTTTGATTTGTATAATAGGTATTTATACTGTAATGTCACTCAGTAAGCTATATTAATGGAAAAACGAAACTAAGTTTCAGTGTTTCACTAAAATTCACGTTTTTAATTAGTATGGAAAGTGCCGCGTTACTGACATGTGCGTACAGTGTACACGTGTGCTCCGCTTTTTATTTTATACACAGTCAGAGTTACTCACACTAATGATGACTTACTCTGCACACATTTACACAACCTGCATGCACACAAATAGAAAATTGCTTATATTGAACTCCCTAAAAACGGTCGGTATTCATACCCCTTCAACACAATCAATTTAGACGATTAAAAAATTGGTAAATTATTGTAAAAGCCCAAAATTATATCATAAAAGAAGTGAATCTAGGTTAATTCTCACCCATTGGTGTTAAGGACAATTTCAACCCAATATATATAATGAGCAATTTGCTGCTTTACTATATAATTATTTTTTTTAGTTGCAGAAGAGTTAAACTTACGAGCAACCTTGAATTAAATTTTCATGCCTTAGGTATTAAAATTAAACATTTTATGAATTTTTTTATTGAAAACCAAGTATTTGATATTTTAACATCTTAATCAGTGGCGTTATAGGCTACAAAAATTTGTTTGGCAACAACCAATCAGGAAATGTCATCACTGCTTTTTAAGATTTACAAGTTAAATAACTACAGTTTAATTAAATAAATATTGAATCATTTTAATATCATTAACATTTATATACTCTGTTCAGGTTAAGAATGCCCAAAATCACGCATGCATACTGAGCCGCCGACAGCCGTCAGACAACCCAGGCGACAGCAGACGCGCTGTGATTGGTCAGCATTGTCAACCGTCGTCGTCGACTGTCGGATCGGAGGCGTGCCGCCGTCTATATACAGATGGTTGTGCGTCGGCACACCAGAGCGCTCCCCATGCATGCGCGAACAGAACCAGTTTTCGTCTGAGCGACTGGGCACTCTTAACCTGAACAGAGTATAGGAACATAATATGCATAACAAATATCAACTATCATTTTACATGGAAATGAGAGTCGATCATCAATGGGAAGTGACAAAAAAAATGTTAACAATACCCAAGTCTACAACATTTTATATGTTAATCATGATATGTAATAATTTAATATTAAGCCAGTTGCACATGACTCATGTACTTGGCAAGCATCATAATCGCTGAAGTTTGCATGTATTTTGACTTTACAGTTATGATGTTCCTACAAAACTAGTATATTTACCGATTTTCCTTTGACTCGTGCTGCTTTTACTGACAACCGTCAGGGAACCAAGAGTGACTTGGAGAGTAAAAATAAATGCTTTACAATTAAATACCTCCCATAAGCCTCGTAAAGCACAACAATTAACAAATATTCACCAAGAGCATAAGTCACAATACATGATACAAACTTGTGAATTTATCATTAAAATTGTTTCACAATAAATTAAATTAAGTCTATAAAATAATTTAACCAACAAGATAATAATTATAATAAACTTTTCTAGAAACTAGACCTACTCTATGGGTCACAATATTCAGCCACTATACCTATAAGTTATATTTGTTGAGATAAATTTATTGAAATAATAACTACAATGACTCTAATAATATTTATAATAGATTTGGAAGGAAAATTCATTAATAATTAATATAATATTTATATTATATAAAAAATATAATATAGCTCTCACTTCACTTATGTTGGATTTACTATGTAAAAGATACATTTTTAATAAAATTTTTATATTTATAGGTACTTAAAAAATTGGTTATCTTACCTTGACCAAATCCAAGAAGACCATAAACAGTTAAATATAAATTCCTTTTGCTTATATTTTCTTTTCCGTGGACATGAGAACTATCATCATTAGACCATACAGAAAGCCAAATATTGGATGAAATTGAAAATCCTTGGAATATTATACTTAGGACAACTGTAGATATACACAAAAAAGGTCCAATTGACTTCAGATAATGTACATAAACTTCCCATTTGACCTTGAAATTAGAATGAAAATAATTAAATTACAGTTAATATTTAAAATTAAATAAATATTTGAAAATTCAAATGTTGATCAAAACAATAAAATATACTACACATACACTGCCTGTTTCAGCTTTCTCTACTTCAATCAATTTAGCTTGCTGTTCGATTATAGGTAGAGGAATGTTTTTTTCAGAATCAATAGACCTTTGCCTAAAATGTAAAATTAAATATTAAATAATAAATCAGATTTAACATAATCAATACTAGGCTAACAGTAACACTCTTAAATAATTTAAGAAAACTGTTACATGCAAAAAAAGGATCACTCATGTTACAGTCACAGTTGAGAAACCAAATTTATACACAATATACAAGACAATATTTTCTGTGTCGTGGTGTTTTATTTATTTGATACCATTAATATAATGAGTTACACAAGTTTAATAACACAAAAATAACAGATTTGTAAACAATAAATATTTTTATATACATATCACAAAAAAGTGGTACGACACAGTAATTGTTGTTTTCCTTACCGTGTATAATTTTGTTTCTGGAGTTTTTAGCAATTCTATAAAATTTGAAAATTATATTTGATATTTTAGTTGCCATCATAGTTATAATACTTTTCCACAAATCTAATACCCAATAAATAATGGAGAGGGGGGGGGGTTGTTCCATTCTATTATATCAAAAAAAATTACTACTTTACAGGAAAATTCTCAGTAATGACATGTCGACAGCAAATGTGGGTATGCAGCATACTCTTAAGAATCAATATATCATTAGTAGTTACCTTTGCATTGAAGAATTTGAATTGGATTCACTTCTCTGGCGAACATATTTTTCTTTTAAATCTGCCGGTGCATCTTCTAATAACTTATCAATTTCTAAACAAATCAATTTCAATAAGTACTTTCTCTAGAAAATTTTACAATTACCAAATCTACATTTATATTACCTATTTCATCAACTTTATATTCATTTTGTTCTTGCATGTGCAATATTAAAAAATCAGCAAAATCTCCTTTTTTGTCCAGCAATTCTTTATATGTGCCAGACTCTGATACTTGACCATCTTTCATTACCACAATTAAATCGACTTCTCTGAGATAAGTAATACTATGAGTTACCAAAATTCGTGTCTTTAAAATAAAAAAATTTATTAAGAAATCAAGATTAAGCTAATTTAATATGACAATTGTATTGTTACTTTTTTTCGCAACAATCCTGTAGGTCCAATAACGTGTTCAAAAATATGTTTACCGACATGTGAATCAACAGCACTTAATGGATCGTCCAAAAAATAGATGTCACTCTCTTTATAAACTGCTCTCGCCAAACTTACTCTTTGTTTTTGGCCTCCACTTAAATTTATTCCCTATAAAATGATCAATTTGATATAGGCATCTATACAAATTATAGTTATTAAATGTAAAAATAAGCAATTGTAAGTATTACCTTTTCACCAATTTCTGTGTCATCGCCTGCTGGAAGCATTTGAAAGTCAGCTCTCAATGCACATGCATCAATGACCTTATTATAAACTCTATCACTTAATGTCTGACCAAATAATATATTATCCTTAAGAGAAGTATTCTGTATCCAAGCTTGCTGTGGTACATATGCTATAGACCCCTAAAAATTAATGTATTAATAATATTCAAGTTATACAAATTACATTAATTTAAATAATAAATAATTGTACACTTACTCTAGTATTAGCTCTGCCAGAAACCTTTTCCATTTCACCAAGAAAAGCTGACACTAAAGAACTCTTCCCAGAACCAACAGTACCCACTACAGCAACCAATTGTCCAGATGAAACTCGTAAGTTTATGTTTGATAATGTTGGTGCATCAGTTGGTTCACCCCAAGTGAATGTACCATTTTCAATAACAAGAGGATCCTCTAAAAACAAAATTTAATTAGTTAAATTACAACAAAATAAAAAATCCTTCATACTAAATAAATAAAAAATGTTACATACTTTCATCAGAATCATGAGTAACTGAATCTGGATCCAACTCTTCGGAGTTCATAAACTTATTTATTCTCTTTACAGATACACTTGACTATAAAATTTTAATATGACTTAAAGAAAACAGTAGTTGTTTATACGCTTATTATGATGCTAAACAGAAAACTTACTTGAACTACATTTGATACAAACATTGGTAACATAGATAATGGGAAACGTAAAATATTAAATAATGATAATGAAACAAAAGCTGTTTGTGCATCCAATACATGGCTATCGTCAGATAATACATAAACTGCAAAAGTTACTAATGATACCTAAATATAATAATGTACAATTTATTTAATTAAGTGACAGATAAATAACGAAAAATTATTATATATATTAAATATAAAATTCTACAATTTATGTGAATTTAAATTAAAAAGGTTAATAAAACATTTTCATACCAGAAATGGTGCACAAGCCCAAATAAATGAGGTAGCTGCATTCAGATAAGCTGCAGTACGAAGTACTTTAATTTCTTTTCCTCGTATATCCAATACTTTTTGTTCAAAACTTGGTTCCCAAGCATATAATTTTAAGACCTGACAAATAAATATGTAAAAATGAAGTTTTTTTATAATTGTGTGAAAAATAATATTACTTTAATTCCCGACAAAATTTCATTCATTAATTTAACTCTTTGATCTTTATTTTTCATTTGTTTGATCTGAAGATTTCTTGCTTTAGCAGCCACAACACCATTTATTGGGATTAAAACTATCATTACAAATAGACCAGCAAGTACACTGGGCCCAAGTGATTGCCACAAAAAGTATATTGCAAGAGCAATTTGAAATGGAGCAGACCAAATCATATTCAGATAAGTTGTCAGATCAACAAATCTATGGGCATCAACAGCCATCAAATTAACTATTTCACCAACAGTAAAAGTTTTTCTAGCTGTATTTGAAATTCTCAAAGCCTTAAAAATAAATGTCATTAATTTAATATTTATCTTAGTGATTTTAGATGAACGTTTTTACCTTTCGATATATAGCAGAAGTAAGGGCAGTTCGTACACGCATACCAACGAGATACATACGATGAAAATACTGAGACAATATTAATGTCTGTAATGTTGCTGTTAACATCATAAGGAAAACATAAAAATATCCTCTCCATAACGGTTCCTTTGAATTTCCTACAAACGCTATCAAATACCTGAAAAAAATATATAAGTACTTGTAATTGACTTTATAAGTCATTTAAGTGATAACTTACTTAAGAACTTGAGGGCTGACAAAAACTAAACAATCTTCAATTACTTTTAGAAATGTTCCAAACATAAACGTACGACCAAATGATTTACATAAAGCGGGAAGAATGGATGCTTCATTTTGACTTTTAGTACCACGAGTTATTCTTGTATATTCAGTAGGTGATACTTCAATACTTCCATCTGATTTATGTTTTATATAAGATGCTTTTGCATTATCTAGTAACCTGAAAAGTATAATTTTTTTACATGTACTTTAGAAGCATAACTATCATAATAACACATAGTACGACTAGAATTATTAATATTACTATTTTTAAGCAATTTCATTACTCAATTATTATTCAGTTAAGTAACTTTAGATACATTGTTTTTATTAATAACATTTTTAGAGATAATGTGTAACATACCTATCTTTACCTCTCAAATACACAAACTATGTATGAAGGTGTATCAAAATTATAATTTTAATAGTTAAGGGCCCGCACGTGACCTGTTTTTTAGCTCCAAAACATGTCTCACAGGAAAAACTCTCAAGCCTTGGAAACTGATCCGATTTCAAAATTTTTTTTTTTTTTTTGTGAAGAGAAATACTTCTTACATGACACAGTGTACTTGGATTTTCAAAATTCTATTTCTTAACCATATAATACGATTTTAAATATGACCAATTTTCACAAGCTTTTGTTATTTTTATTATGTTTATTTTGAGAAAAAACACGCTTTTTATTTTTGGGCAGAGATGCCGTTGAAATGTGCACGCAATGCAGCACGTACATATATGGCCCGGTACCCTCATACAATCACAGTCCCACTAATTACCATTGACAACTAACACAAATTACATGGGAAGTGGCAACAAAATTCCATATTGCCTAAATATTGTTCCTTAATCAATGTTAAAAGTAAAAGTTTGATTATTACGGCATCAGACATGATAAAAACATAAAAACAATATATGACTTTAATAATGTTGAGTGTTTAATAACATTGTTTACTCACTTTGCTTTAATTAATGAACGTTCCCAATGTTTATCAAAGATAGGAACTACTTCTCGTGAACTATCATCATAGTTCATATTCCACAAATCTTTAGTTTCTAAAGGACGATTATATCCAGTCCATGCTAATGCATCAAACCACGTGAATAATATCCGCGAAGGATATGATGCTTTCATCTCAGGACATGGTTTCTAGAAATTGTTCAATGTTATGAAATAAGAACTCAAATAATCATAAAAATATTTTGGAAAATTTACCTCGACGGGGGGATAATCTGATAGTCGTGGATCAGTATCAGCAAAAAAATTTAAAACAAACTGTATTAGAACAAGAGGGTAATACACCATGTAACTAATAAATTGGTATTTTTGTAATGGTACCTAAATAAAAATAAAAATATATATTTATAAATATTGTATTTTAAGTATTATATTGTATTAATATACATTGAATTTATATTTATAATATATTATCTTACATCAGAAAATGCTAATCGGATCTCTGTTCGATATTGAATAATCCCACAAAATGCCAAGGATAACCAAAACAAAAATATTAACCCAGATGACCTTAATCCTCTTGCACGATTGGCACTGATTAAAACCATTATAAATCCCTGTAAATTAAAAGACAGTTAAAACACTATTAACATGTTGACATATTTAGGTACAAACAAAAAATTAAATAGTAATGTGTAATAGAAATACAGTGTATAAGTTAATTTAATTTATTTATATGAGATTATGTCATATTTTAATCTTAAGATAATTATAAAAAAAAGCCTTTTGTCATAAACCAAAAAAATAGGTTTGATCAAAGATCTTAAGCATATAAAAATATTTTGGAATTGAATACTTACAAATGTGATTAATTTTACAAGTGGTGTGTAAAAATCCACAGAATATATAGGCATCCCCGATGAATATTGAATTATTGCATATGCTATATCGATTATTGAAAGAAGACATAGTATAGCTGCACCACCCTATAAAGTAACATAAAACCAAAAATGTAAATTTCTAAAATATTATTGATAGATAAATATATTATACAACTAGATACTTAGACCTTTTTATTTTTTAAGTTAAAAATTACACGCCTTGTACTAAGTAATATAAGCTTCAGACTTTCAGACTTCAGTAATATAATCACCTAATATATTATATTTATAATAACTTGTCAATCATAAATATAATTTGTGGACTAAAGCCTAATTCAACAAACATATTATTTGAACATAAAAAAAGGGTGGTTAACCTAATAACTAAATATTTACAACTATGTGATACTATGTGATCTATTGTTTTACATAATATATTAAATTCAATAGCCCTCGTAGAAATGTAAAACAGGGGTAAGGACAAAGATAGAAATATAGGTAAATACGGTAAGGTAGGAATATAAAATTTTTTTTTACAAATATTCAAAAAATGTTTATTTCCTAACTAAAATAAGGTTGGGGATATGACCCCGACCAACGGTCCTTTATTAGATCTAAAGTACACATTTAACAATACTTAAAATAACTAGGTATGGTAAATAAGAATTGTAGTTTTAATAGTTTTTAAATTGTTGCTCAACACTATATCACTTATTTGCATGAATATAGATGGGTAGGTATAAGTAAGTAATATTAAACATAATATATGAATATTTATTTAAAAAGTTAATTTTCCAATACAAATCGGTCATTCTAAACATTGCATGGACAATACATAAAATATTTGAATAACTTGGGCCAAAACTTCAGGGTAATGTATAAAATGCTTGGATATTCAAAATTGCCCGTAACATATTTATGTACAAATTAAGGCAATAAAATAAATTTATATAGGTAGGTAAAAATAGTTTATAATTACATAAATATATATTTGTATAAGTAAACCTAGAAATTAGTTTATGGGATAACAAATAAAAATAATAGACTTAGGTTAGGTTAGATTAATATTAGTGTAATAAGTACAGTTGTAGAAAATTACCAAGGACATTTAAAGTCATTGACCTATTTACCTAACTGTACTATAGGTACACGAGTAGGCATTAAATATAATATAATATTTATAAAAAGAATGAAACATTAATTGTAATAGATAGGTATGTGTTAATAAATTATAAATTAAGTTTAAAAAAACTAAGGTGTTTAATAAGAATTCATCAATTTTAATAAAATATACTAATTATTGGAAATATATTTATCTGCATTTTTTTTAATACATTAATAAAAAGGTATGTATATAAATTGTATAGTACATTATAAAATATTAAAATGTATTAAATAAGATAAACTTTATTGTTTACAGTATAACTTATCTGCAAGGTGGCAACTTTATTTACAATTTAAATTTTATATACCTATTTATAATAACTTGGGTTTATAAAAGAATATTATATTATATTTTTCATTGTTATACTGATAACTAACTATTCATTAAACTTATATTAGTTTGAATTGAGAGTATTATAATATACTTCTTATAATATAATACCTATACATTTTAATTTTTTTTTTTTTTTTTAATATCCATATTAATACAACATAATACCTACCTATGTACCTACTTATTTAAATAATTGGATAAATACAAATGTATATCAAGTAGGTAATTATCTAAACTGCTCATATACATAAATTATTGTTTAAAATTAAAACTAAATTGTTATGGCATTAGACATTTAGTTGACATTAGAGATATCAGATTTAAACGTCAATAATCATATTCTGAATAAAAATTAAACATATGACCATGTTTTAATATAATAGAAATTTGAATTAAATTATTTATTTTAGTTATGATTTAAGAAAGCTTAATTTTAAAATACTCACTAAAAACCTAACAGACATGTTAACCATGGATCAAAAATAAATAATAATCATGTACTTTTATCAAAAAATATTTATATAACACTTTCATTAATTAAGTAGGTGCTTAAGTACCTATTACATAAATAATGAAGTGATATATCTATGTTATTAATATGTTCTCAAATTTATATGTCAAATAGTTGGTAAACAATTGCTACATCTAATTGAACTACTTGCTGTCACAATACCATACCCTGCCATAACATCCGATTAACTATCAAACCAATTTAAAAATGTATAGAACCAATAATATAATAATTTTTAATACTGTCATTGACAGTATAATCAACACCACAGTTATAATATTACAAAAAGCAGATAGCCGTGATCAAAGCACAAAGATGAATTGTTTATTTACATTATTTTTAATGGGTGATAAATACATACCAATATAGTAATATTATTATAAATGGTATCAGTTAAAAATGCTAAATGACAGATTTAGGTAATATTAAATATTTTACTATCGACATAATAACCTAATAACCTAATGTGTATTACCAATTAATGCAACAATGTAAATATTATGTAGTGAATTAAAATTAATATATTATAAATTATGGTTCAGTTATAATAGAAAAAAGTAATTTGAATTGGATACATATTTTTGTTTATCCCCATTCCCCCATATTTATTTAAATTGGTCATTTGATGATGATACATTAAATAAATAAATACATTATAGAAAAATTGTGAAGTTGCAATGCAAATTTTAGAAAGAACCTAAATGAAATAAATACCTGAAAAATGATAATCTAAAATAAAAAAAAATTACTTATTTAGATAGGTTGAAATCAGGTAATATAGATACGTAGGTAACTACTAGGTACATTGTTATTAATAGTTGTACTATCAATCTGATATTATTTATTTTTCTTAAGTTTAAATATTCATTTACTTTTATTTAATGATTCTGAATTAAATATAATTATCTACCTAAATTTAAATTAGGTTTACTCTGAATACAAGTAGGTACCTATATATGACTTAAGATAAATTTTATAAATTCTATAATATTAATTGAATAGCTAAATAAATAAAAAAAAATGATTTAAAATCTCATATAAAATAATGACATAATTTATTTATAGTAGGTAAGTACCTCTACACAGGTATATAATATATAAAAATGTAGAAAATATAGTTATCACTAATCAGTGATCGTTGGGTGTAACATAATAATATACAATTCTCGGATAACACAACAATAGATTTTATTCTTCCAGATTTTAACTGTACATTTGCTAGTAATCTACCGAGCAAAATAGTCTATTTGAGACACATACCCAGGCATAAAATATGATTGCACGAATAATCTGTTATTCATAATACTCTTATCTATTAAACATAATAAAATATCCCCTCTCTTGTAAGAGTCATAAATACATTATGTACATAACATTATGTCATAGAGCCGTATTGTGCGTTACTCAATATTATGTTATGTCATAACTCGATAACTCATAGTATGCACCAGGCCACTTTAGATCCACTAGGATCACATTACAGTGCACGTTGGATCACATTATTTAAACCCACAACAATGAATTAATAATATCCACAACAAATTGAAATATAATGAAAGTCTCACCAGTTTGGTCAAGTTGAGCCAATTCCACGGTATGTCCCTGTACCTGCTGTGCACCAGGTAGTAGACTTCTAGCGGACAGAACAACCAAAGGAACAGGCAGGGCGACCATACCAGGGCGGTCTTCTCGAAACAAAGCGTGACATCGGGATCAGTAGTATTCCACGACGTATTCCAATCCTAAAAATAAAAACCGAAATGGACCGTCACGGTGCGGAATCGCGAAAATTAGTGTTAAGCATGTGAGGGAAGTGTTAATGAGAGTAACTCGTGTGCCGCTTACCCAAAAAGGCGAACCGCAAAAACCGTCCAAATCGGCCAACTCCATAAATGAACGTCGTGGATGACGAGTTTCGAGCGACGAGCTCGGTTGACTTGTCGTGCGGGTAATTCAAACAAACTTTACCGGCGAGGTTACCGGCGTCGCGCGTGCAATAGTACAGTGGTGCCTACCGCCCGTCCGTCCGTAGTTCCGCGCGTGTTATCCGACGTGTGCCCGGTATCGAACAGAGTCGTGATGACGGCAGTTGATGTTGAATATTCGGCTTTTCTAACGATCGAAAAACTCTGGATGTCCGACGAGAATGACGGAACCGTGACGGCAGTTGTGGTTGAAATGCTTTGTTATTATACTGCCTTTGTCCTATATGATAATGTGCGGCGAACAATATTATTATTATTAATCGGTGTACCTTGGTCCTTGGCACGGGTCGTATAAATACACTCTATCACCTATCGGTACTGGCCGGAGTCCGGGAATTCCGGGAATTCAACAATTAGAATCGGCGTGCGCGAACGAATGCGTACCCGACGACGATAACGTGTGACGCCGGCGTTGTGAACGGAACGAAACGCGAACACTGACTGAGACGTGCATTGGAAATTGGAAAGAGATTGGAGACGAGTCCGGACGTCGGACTCGATTGCGTTTTTCGGCCGTGGCGACGATTGCGCGTGCGCACAATCCGCCCGCTATACTATTATGGGTACCTACACTACTATATTATTATTATTATTATTTTGATTATTTGTGCCAACTCGCGCTGCAAATGGTCATTGAAATGTACCGTGAGTGTTGTGTGCGTACTATGCGTACACGCACTCTGTAGAATGTACAACACTACAACTCTCGTTAGTACTTGGTACTATACAATTATTACGGCTTAATTCGACATATTTTCGGGCCAGCAATGATTGAGTTTTTACGGCGGCCGTTACGTAATGCGCGCCACAAAATTCGGCGAACAGTGTCGCTGCGTACCGAATTAAAAGGAATCGCGAAACATCACAGAACATAAACGTACAACCGCGATATCGAGTCCAAAATCCAAATATCCAATACGCACAATCCCCTTTATTTATTACATAGCATAGATGATAGATCATATTATAATAATAATAACGTCAGATGATTCATTGAACTGACTAAGATTTAGCCCCCCCACATCTTTTATTGATTTAGATATCAGCCCCATATGGGTTATTTTAAATAAATAGTTTTGGTAGCCCTCTCCCAGAATTTTAACCCTAGTCGCGCCTATGTAGATGATGTTATTAATAATTACCCCACCGGCCACCAGGACCTAACAAACAGAATCCGACAATTTTCCTGTGACGGTAGATTCAATTTCGAGGAAAAGCCTCGAATTCCCGTTTAAATCTGCCTATTACACTGAATAGTTTTAAATATTATGATCTAGTAACTGATACGCTTGACCTTTTCTCTTTGAAAGACTTTGAACTAACTTTGAAAGACTAGTTGCTATAGCTGGTAGTTGCCAGTTGGTTTAATGTCCCGAGGTTTTTAATTATTGATACCTAGCTACACAAGTCACAAGAATACAAGAACATCTTAAATTGAAAAGATTATATATAATGTGGTACTCACAATTAATTATAAAGACTTGAAGAGAATAGCTGGTAATAGAGATGAGTGGATAAAATATAGGAAACTACAAAACCAACCTTAGGGTTCAATACCGAAAAAGGTGCTCTGCTGTACAGTAGATTACAAGTGGGTCACTGTATAATGGATAGTATTAAATATGAATTCAATGATATAATATCATTGTATAAGAAAAACAATTTTGAGACGGTATGACAGTCTAGGTATAAGACATATTATAAACTTATCTATCGTATTAAAAAAAATTTACCTATTATAGATACCTATAATAAATTCCAAATTAATCATATCACAATATCCATTAGGTACTTATAACGCGTTATACATCAACAACAAACCCTGATACTATCATAGATATATTATAGCGTACTTTGGAAATTTCAAGTACCCCCGAATAATATTATACAATCACAACGAAATAACTAAAATAGTTATTCTAGGTTTTTTTTATGTAATTTTGTCCAAAGTTGAACTTAAAATGACTATAAAAATAAACTGTGCTTATGTATTTTTTAGATTTTTTGATAACAGAATTAACTACTTACGTGGAATCTTGTTTTAAATTTTCAATCCTTAGATATAAAAGTTGAATATTTTATAAATTTTTAACTACAAAATAATTATTCAATTTTAAATTTGATACATTTTGTCAAAATTCGATCTTTAAATGCTTATAAAAAAAAATTGTGCCTATGTATTTTTAATATTTTTCAACTGATATTGTAACAATATATCAGGAGCATTGTATTAAATTTTTACACTTTTTGGCCCAACAGATAAAACTTTATTGATATTTATAGAATAAAAAACTAAAAAAATTGGAAACCGAAAATGTCCGTAAACATCTCAAAAAGAGTCAAAATATTTTCAAAATTGTATGGTGTATAGGAAATGCTAATTTAAATATTCAGTAAAATTTTCGTGTATCTACAAATTTTCGTTTTTGAATAACAACAAAATGAAATCGCTGCATAAGAAATCGAGTGAATATCCAATGTTGTAAAAATTTGAATTTCAGACGCTCATAAAAATGTAATTTGACTTTCTTATAGACATTTTTTTTTTGATAAAGGTAGATAATCTTATAAGGAATCTTATATTACATTTTAAAACCTTAGATTTAAATAGAAACATTTTTACGAATTCTTAACTCAAAATAATTTACTAATTTTCGTGATTTTTCCATATTTTGTCAATTTTTGAACTTTAAATGCTTAAAAAAAAAACTGGGATTAAGGATTTTTAATATTTTTCAAATGCCATTTTAACAATATAGTAGAAGCCTTGTATTAAATTTTCAAGCTTTTTTAACCAACAAATAAAATTTTATTGATATTTTTAGAAAAGAAACTAAAAAAAAATGGAAAATGAAAATGTGCCTAAACAGTTCAAAATAAATCAAAACATTTTGAAAATGTTATCGTGTATAGAAAATGTTAATACAAACAGTCAGTCAAAATTTCATGTACCTACGGTCATTTGTTTAAGAATTGCACCAAAAACCAAAATCGATTTTTTCGAAAACAGATTTTAGTGTAAAAATTCCCGTTTTTTCTTAATTTTTATTTTGTTTTTCACGCCGCTTTTGAATTTACTGTGAACTTTTCACTTTTGATCCTCCAAAGTACCAACTAGATTCACTTTCCTATCAGAAAAGTTACTGTTGAAGAAAATCCAAGCACTTTTACTGTCCTAAAACGTGATGACAGACACAAAAAAAAATAAAAAATAAAAAAACACACATCGTAAAATCAATACATTTATCGTTTCACTCAGAATCTAAAAATCTGAGCAAGACCCAACCATGTAGATAGGTACTTATTAGTTATTTATGAAACAAACTACAGGATCGTTGATTCAAATTAACGCTGTTCAACAATTAAATTCAGGGAACTCTGTAATTTTTGAAAGTAAAAATGCAAAAAGTACCTAAAATGCTAAAACATGAGCAGTATATTAGTAAACTACCTATAATATCTAGAGCTGACAGCTAACAGCTAACTGTGAAGTGCTAAATAGTAACTGCTGACCGCTAGAGCATAGCCAGTTTCCTCTAAAATGTATTAAAATGTTGCTATTAGGAAACCATGTAAAAATAGTAATAATAATAAAGCAAAAATGTAACAATATCATGTCTGTGCAGTGTGCACAACAATGAAAAAAATATTAATATCATAATTGACAGAAATTAATTGTATTAACTATTAACTTATAATACCTAATCGGATTTATTTTTTTTTTTAATGCATTATAAATTATAATACATTTTACAGTAAAATATTATTTAATCAGTACAAATATTAAATACTATAATATAAGGTAATTATATAGTTGCATTTCATAAAAAAAAATAAGTTACAAGGAAGTTATTTTTCAAAAATTACATTTATTTTTTTTATAATGTAGATAATGATAAAAATATACACAAGTCAAATAAATGGACTATTAAAATATAGTTTTTAAAAAATAACATAATTACATTATTAAAAGAAACCACAGTTTTAACAAAGGCGATGGACCTACTCTAATTCCTATAATATATTTTAATTGCGTTTTCAGTTTTTGGCACAATTATATATTACCTGAAAATTAACCAAACATTTTAAATTTGGCGTAGACAAGCTGTGACAAAAACTGTCAATATTATTTTGAAGGAAACGGGTATCAACCGAGCCTATTTAGCACTGAGCCTATTTAGCTAGACAACCCAACGGTGCCCCTACAATCTACATGTAAATATTCAAAATAAATAGATAAATTTATAATTGTCTACTTAGTATTTACTATCAATAAATATAAAGACGTACTTAGTACTTAAATATTTTAATGAGAACTGAGAAGGTACAACATTAATTATGAACTAAGATGACGATAATTATCGGATCTCAAAAACATTTTCTCTCTTACATCTCTTAGTAAAAACACTTTTATTTGCACAGACGTTTATTTAAGCATGTATTTAAACAGTGGCGCCGAAGTCCATGCTGACGTCGGGCCGTGGCCCGACCTCTTTTATGAAAAATGTGGCCGGCCGACCATATTTAATTTACATCATAACTTTATTATAAGCATGAGTAAATTTAAACCGTGATTATGAATAAATTTATATTAGGGTACCTCTATATTAAATAATTAAGATATTGAGGCCGGGAAGTTTTAAAATTGCCCGACCACATTTTAAAGGTAAACGGACAGTTTGTACTATCTATTGTTTGAGTTGCATATCGCGGACACTTTGTACGGTGAAAATAATTTGGTAAAAATCGATCGCGGACACTTTGTACGGTGATAATAAATTGGTAAAATTCGATCGCGGACGTTTTGTACGGTATAAATAAACCGGGAAATGTACCTTAAAAGATGAGATAAAATTTAATTGCTCAAAACTTTAGATTGCGAATCATGATCGCGATTAGTATGAG